CTTTCCGACACCCATAAATGCCTGGGATGGGGGCTGCCCAGCAACCAGCAGGGATGCTAGGAGCCCAAATAAAACATTGGGTCGTGCTCATTGCCTCAAGATCACAAAATGGCTACTACAGCTCCACACATTCAGAACCATGCACCAGCCTCCCCTGCTAGAAGGGAGAGAAAGGCGCAATATTTATTAGCAAACGATATCCTTACCAATTTCCAAAGAAAAACTTTCCGGAAGTCCTCCATAAGCTTCCCCTTCACCTCTCAGGCCATATACTACCCTCTAGCAGCAAGGGAGGCTGGGAAAGCAAGACCTCACTTTTTCAGCCTCACAAATAGAAGGCAGGCAAGAATTAAGGGGGCTGGGAATAGTGTCAGCACAAGGGCTAATTAAAAAATGAAACACTTATTGAGCACTTACCATGGTTTCTCTTCTCCGAGCACTTCTATAAGTAGATTGAATATATTATCTAACTTAATCCTTTCAATGACCCTACAAAGTAGGTACTTTTATCCCCACTTTTCAAATTGAGAAACTGAGGCCCAGAGAGATTGGGTCACTTGCCCAAGACCACACAGAATACTGAGGGCAACAGGATTTGAACTCAGGCCAACTCTAGAACCCAGGCCCTTAAATACTACCCTATACCACCTGCCTCAGTGTTTGCAGATACTCTGGTTGTGCATATGCTTATATTTGGCACAAAAAGAACACCTAGGGGCCAGAGAAGGAAATCCCCCTGCCACCAAAAACACATGGCCCTAGAAGCTCCAAGATGGCAGGAAACAGCCAGAGCCCTTGACCTCTGTCCCCAGTTCACCAGCCTGGGCAGCCTGGAAAGACTTCATGTCCCATGCAGTGTGAGCCTTGGAGAGGCAAGTCCGTGCTGCCGGCACTCCATCCCTCAGGCCCTCTCTCTCCGTTATTACCCACCTAGAGAAAGGCCAGCAACCACCTCCATCATTTGTGGCTGGGATCATGGCCGGAAACAGTCAACCACCACCCCAGTGAGACTGACCTGCCGGCTCTGGGCAGTGGGACCTGACTGCCATGCCAGGCTAGTGCAAAGGGCACCAGGCCCACCGCTCAGCAGTGACTGACCAAAGGCACCTCCTGCCACCCCCCGCCCCATCAGTGATTTCCATTTTTAGAATTGCAAATACCCTTGGAAAACGAAATCCTAGTGCCAAGCCTATCTTTTGGGGGACAAGGCTCGATGTTTACACTTCTAATGTTACATCCATTTTTCATTACCTTGGATGTGTGTGCTTAAAAAGTTTATCTGTGGTAAATGTAAACACCCAAACTGTACTGCCTTTTTTATTCTGTATTTTGTAGTTTCCTGGGAGCCTTTTAATTTGGGAATAGCCAGGCTACTTGACAAAGAGGCTATGCCTAAGCCCACATATGGAAGAATTCATAAACTACATTTCTTCCTTCTCCAAAAGACAACTTAAAGGTATGTGAGCCAAAAGCAAGGATCCCAATCCTGCTGGAAGCTTGAAGAAACAAAAAGTAAGTCATGTCTGTGTCATGTTTTTCCAAATATGACGTGATATGAGGAACACTTCACCTCTGTGGTTATACTTCCCCAAACCCATAACCCCAGTCTAATCACAAGGAAACATCAGACAAATCAAAATTCAGACACATTCTATAAAGTATCTGACCAGTATTCTTCCAAAGGTCATGGTCTTTCAAGGTCAGGGTCTTTCAGTGTCATGAAAAACAAGGGGAGTCTGAGGAACTGTCATAGAGCAAAGGAGACTAAGGAGACACGATGACCGAGGGTAATGTGGTATACTTGATCGGATCAACTAAAACAATGTTTTAAAATTGCTGGCCCTCATTCAAACCAATTACAGTAGTAGTTCCCCTTTACATTCCAAGACCCCCAGTGGATGCCTAAAACCACAGAGAGCACCAATCCCTACAAATATCATGTTTTCTCCTATACATACATACCTAGGATAAAGTTAATTTATAAATTAGGCACAGTAAGAGATTAATAACAATAACAGTAAAATAGAACAATTATAACAACATGTTGTAATAAAAGTTATGCAAATGTGGCCTGCTCAACAGAGAATGCTACTAAGCGACTAAGGGCAGGTAGTGGATACAGCATGGATATGCTGGAACGAGGCATGATTCACATCGTGGGCAGGGCGGAATGGATGGCACTAAGTTTCATCACGCTACTCAGAATGGCAAAATGTAAAACTTATGAATTGTTTATTTCTGGAACTTTCCATTTGATATTTTCAGACCATGGTTGACTGTGGGTGACCTCAGAAAGTGAAACCACAAATAAGGGGGGAGGAGCTACTGTAAATTAGAATCTTGGGCATTTGAAGCTCTCCTGGTGATCCTGATGTACAGGGAGGGTTAAGAACTGCAGACCAGAGATTTCAACCATGAGCGTGTGCATCAGTATCCCCTGACGGGCTTATTAAATCAGATTGGGGCGCCCGCTCCAGAGTTTCTGATTCAGCAGGTCTAGAGTGGGGTCTGAGAATCTGCATCTCTAACAAGCTCCCAGGTTACACTGATGCTGCCAGTCTCAGTATCATGCCTTCAGAACCGGTGATCTAGATCCTTGCAACTCAAAGTGTGGTCCACGAACCAGCAGCATCGACATCCCCTGGGAAATGCAGAATCTCAGCCCTACCTTGACCCACTGAGTCAGAATCTGTACTTGAACGAGAGCTCAGGTTATTCCTTTATACATGAAAGTTTAGGAAGCGCTGCTCTAGGATGAAACTGCGGGGAGAGGCAAGGAAATGGGAGCTGGAATGGCGGCAGTCGACAGCTTAATAGCCATCACTTCACCGGCCTGGCACTCCTCTCACACCCAAGAGAGAGCAAAAGAAGAAGGAACATCAGAGGAACTATGCAACTATTAAGTCCAAAGCAGAACTGAGCAGAAAGAGCACTTTCTGCCCTGGGTTGTGCGATCCAGGGGCACAGCGACCTGGCGAAGGAGGGAAGCTAGCTGTTGGCAGGGGCTGAGGCAGCCTCCAGCAAAACCAATCCAAAAGGCACTCACCACAGGAAAATGGACATTGCCGCTACAGCCCAAGTTTTAATATTTACTCTGCTGAGGGCCGATCTCATACTTCCTTTGGAAAAAGAGAGAAAACCAAGCCAGTCTGTGTAGCTTCACAAGAAGGAGGGAGGGAAGAGGAAGGAAAGGAGGTGAGAGCTTTTACCAAAATGTTTCCAGACTAAGGCTTAGGGGACCAAGCCTCCTGCAGGTAGTTCCCCTTCGGCCAGCTATCTGTAGCAGTGGCACCAGGGAGCCTGGCATTCAAGTCCTCCTGTTAAATATAGACCCTCCTGGTCCAGCCCAACAGACTTCACCACTCCCACAGGCCAGGCTGCAAGGAACACACCACTCTCTGGTTTTGTTCTCCTATCTGTTTAGAATCACCCAATCATCAGTTCCCAACAGAGACCCTAGCTCCTTAGGGCCATAGCTTGAGACCACTTAAGCCCCAAGTATCATTCCGCATGGCTCCATGGAACTCCTCTCACACTGGCTTCCACTGAGAGTAATTCTATGCCTCTCAACAAGTCCCACCCCTGAGGATTTGCTTAGGTGCCTCCTGGAGCCACTTTTGTTTTCTGAGATGTCATTGGATGTTCACATTCTCAGAGCCCTGCAGCTGTGGCAGGAGGGGCCTGGGCAGCCTGTAATGCTAAAAGTGGCCGTCTCTGATCCTGAGAGTGGGCTTGGAGCTTGAGGAAATTAATAATCAAACAAGGCAGCACCTCTTGTAGAGGATGAGTGACATATATAGCTTTTTTAATACACCGATTTCAACATCCATGAAAGTAAAGTATTCTGAGATTCTAAGTATCGACCTGTTTATTGAGCACTTAACTAAAAGCCAGGGCATCTGCCCTTACTCTAAGCTGGGCACATATCTGAGGGGCTCTCTATCAAATGGGCCACAGAGTTGGAATTCCTCTCTCCTCCACCTGAGAAAAGGGAGGAAAAACAGCCATGTTGCCCAAATCAAAGAAGCCAACACCTAAATTCATTGAGTATCCAAGTGTTAAAAGAGAAAACACTCTTCAAAGTAAGCTGGTGGTGTCTTCCTGACACATTGTCACTGCTGGGAGGAAAAAAAGTCACAGGATTTTATTGCAAAGCACCAAACCCAAATCAGTTCATGGCAAGCTCCACAGGACAGAGAAGGGAGCAGGGTGAAGGTCCCACATGGAAACTCATGCAAGCTCTCTCTGAACTGCAGAATAGACACTAGGAGAGATCTCCTCCTACAGCTCTGGGCTCCAAAGATGGCTCCACCCAGGCTAAGCAGAAGGCACACAGGCCAGCAGTCAGTCAATAAAGATGCACCTCAGGCCAAGTGCAAAGGACAAGAAGACACCAGAGTGATTGTTATGTGATAAAGATTTTGCCTGGTCTTTGCCTCTGGTTCCTGGGAGAGAACCTCTAACTCCTTGAAATTTTTCAGTGACAGGAGGATCTCTGATATTCATGGTGTGCCCCTTGGATCACACCTGAGTTTGTACTAGATGGCTTAGGATGGGGCAATACCAGTCCCATCTCTCTGGGGAGGGGAGAGGGAGAGCAGATTAAGTTCAATCATGTGATCAGTGATTTAGTCAATCCTGCCTGTGTAATGAAACCCTGACAAAAACTCTGAACGCTGAAGCTCAGTGAACTCACTGATAGGCTAAGAGGGAGACACTTTGTCATTCCACGGGAGAAGACACAAAAGCTCTGCATTCGGGACCCTCCTAGACCTCGCCGTATGCATCTCTTCATTTGGCTGGTCCTGATTTGTAACCTTTATAATTCAATTATAATCACAAATATAGTAATTTCCTGAGTTCTGAGTCATTCTAGCAAATTATTGAATCTGAGGGGGTTGGGGGAGCCCCCAAATTTGTCAGTCAGAACTGCAGGTGGCCTGGGCACCCCCGAACCTGCAGCTAGTGTCTGAAGTTAGGGCAGTCTTGTGGGGAACTGTGCCCGTAAGCCTGTGGAGTGTGCACTAAGGCCAGGTGGTCAATGTCAGAACTGCGTCACAGAGCATAGCAGCCCAGGTCCACCCACCGCAGGCCCTGGGTACATGCTGAACTCAGTCTGCATTTTCCAGGACTTTTTGTCTCCTTTACCTATTCACTTGCCCAACTCCACTGAAAATCCAATTTCCTCTGCAATCAGGGTGTTTAAGACCCAATTCAGGCACACATGGAGGCCCAAGAACAAGTGTGATCCATATCCATGGTACTGTGGAATAAGAAAGCAAGCATGGTCCCTCTCTATCACTCAGCAGCTGTGTGACGTCAGGCAAATTTCGAAAACTCTCTGAACCTCAGTTCCCATCTCTTTATGATGAGGCTAATGACCCCTTTCCCTCATGGAGCTGATGGGATAATTCAATGATGTAACTTAGTTACAAAGAGCCGAGCATATTCTCTTACACGTGTCGGGCACTCAATAATCATCGGCCTATTCTCTTCCTATTTTCACTGCCCTGTACCCCAAACCCTTCCAGCCTCTGTACTCTTCCTGGATTCGGGTGTTGCTCGGGTGCTAGGCCCACTGGCAACATGCTGATGTTTTACATCACAGGCCAGCAGGAAGCCAACCATTAAACCAAAAGTGAAAAGCAAGTCACCATTACTCTGAACAAAAAGGACATTTATATTTACTTCAGTGGCTATAAAAGACACCATAAAAATATAATATGCAGCATGCGTCCTCATGATTAATAACAGATCTTGCAAATTATTCTCTCAGGTCCCTAGGTGTATCCAACTGGTCACTAAGAACAATTAATTTTTTCAGGAAATAAAGGGATTGTGAATCTTCTCCGGTCAGTAGAAAATCTGTTTGCTGTATTATGAATAAAAAGAATAGAAAAAGAGACTCGAATTCAGGGGCTTTCTGCCACATGAGTTGGGTAAAGTAAGAGCAGAGAGACCCGAATACAATTACTGTCTGTGAGCAAGGGTGCTCAATGAGAGCCAGGACCTGCCACATCCGGGGTGCGACACCTCCGGGGAGTAACATGGCAAGAAGGAACCTGCTCTCCAGCCAGCTCAGAGACCATGCACCTCCCCAACAAATGCAACCATCCCACAAGCTAGATGCGCCCTCAAATTGTTCTATGGTTCATCTTGACAAAGGAAGTGTTGAGACATCCAACCCAGTAGCACCTGGAGACCATACAAACACAGAAGTTAAAGCAGGAGTTTGAGATGTCCTAGAAACAGGAGCAGGGGATAGAGCTGGGGGAAGAGCAGGCTGGCAGCAGGCAACAGGTGAAGCATAGAGTCCAGACAGATGACAAGGAGGTTTCAGAGTGGAACCCTAGCCATGGTGAGTGAAGTTTGGACCCCAGGCTACAGGACTGTGGGCGCCGAATGATAAAAACAAAGGGCTAAGTCAGGAAACAATTAGTAGAACAAGGCAGGTACCAGGTCACAGGGAATGAGGTGAGAAACCAGGGGAACCAAAGTCTGAGGTTTCAGCTGAGTCTCTGAGTTCCTGGTCTTGGGCTTCTGAACAACTTCGACCACGGTGTCAGTCTTGGAAGGTGAGAGAAACCTACAAGAAGCAGGAAGTAGCCCCACAGTGGCAGGCTGGAGGAATACAGGAGCAAGAAGCCGAGCAGACCACAATGGCATGTGGCATCCAGGTCCACTCCCGCCTAATGGCCAAAGTAGATTCGCACCCAAACTTGAATAAAAATCCCACCAGCCAAGCCCTGCCCTGCAACCCTGAAAAAGTTTTTATTGAAACACAGCACATAAAATACCAAAGGGGTCCCCATGATAGCGGTGAACTCACGGCTGCAACGCAGCCTGCCTCGGAGGCCAAGCCACTCACTAAGGTGCGACACCTCCGGGGACCGACGACAGCACAAGGTAAGGGCACCTGCTCTCCAGCGAGCTCAGAGACCACACTCCCCTCCAACAAAATCAAGCCTCCTACAAGTTAGATGTGCCCTCGGTGCGATTCATGGTCCATCCTGACAAAGGAAGGGCTAACGGAAGCGGTGGGGGACACCCAACCCAGTGGCACACGTTGGGAGTGGGGAAGCAGACTGTGTGCCATCTCCCTGGATAAGCAGAAAAACATGTCGCATGGCTCAGTATGAGGTCCCGAGACAAGGGCTACCATGTGGGAGAGGAATTCTAGAGGAGGAGTATAATGGGACCATGGACAGCGACTGGGGGGCTCCAGGCCACAATGTGGAGACATGACTAAAGAGTGAGTGAAAAAAAACCCTTGCCTGCCATAGAGTCACACAGAAAATGGGCAGGGGACAGCAAGTCCACTCAGCGTGGAGCAGGCAACAGCCAGCAAAGCAGGGCCAAGACCCAGCTGGCCAGCCTTAACCCCTTCATACGCAGAATGAGTTCATGAAGGTCGATCTGCCATAAGCTGAAGGCCTCACTGAAAGAGATCTGGGTCCTTCTGAAGGACGAACAGGCATTCTTCTTCTTGTGCCTGCAGGAGAGGCAAGAAGAAAGGGAAGAACAAAAGATAAACAGGCAAGAAACACACGGGATCATTTAGGAAAATGGAAGATGAAAGCTCTGCCAACTCGCCAGCTCCCCGCCCCAGGGATGACTCCTGGTTCTGCGATCATACCACTGCCCACTCAGGAACCAGAGGAACTCAACTACTCCAAGGAGCTTTCCAGATAAATAGGGTAAGCCAGAGCAGTTGTTTCACAGGGCATCAAACCTGGTGGGCCCACTGAGGACAACATTCCAATGCTTCTATTTTCCCAAAAGTAGAGTTACTATTTATCAAACCAGAATCCCCCAAACTCAAATATAAAAGCTTTCCCAAACTTTCCCAAGGTAAGAGTCACCTGGAAACCTGCTCAGGTGATCCTAGGATGCTGAGGCTATTGTGGATGCAGCCCAGCTCAATCCCTCTGCACCAACAAAAGGACATGATGAAAATTGGTGCTTATGATGATGACCTATTCAAGACTTCATTCTCTGAACCCTCAGAGAAATAATAAATCATGTTCAGCCCTTTCCCTGTGCAGTCTATTTTGCTCTAATATAATTTGATGTTTGATAGCAGGTGATCTATGTGGTCAACTCTCCCTTCACCAGATAGTTGGACAGAATGACCCATTCCCGGCCTGGGTGGATGGGCTGGATGTGGACCACAGCCTAGGCCTCCCCTCTTGGGTGAAAACATTCAGCCACAGCATAGGCTTTCCATGCATTTGCCACCCTGAGGTAGAAGGGCCTAGAACCTTCATTTCTCTATCACTACCTCACTGAGGAAGCACCCTTCCCTAAGGGTGATGAGGCATCTTAGGAGATCTGAGATCCCGAGAGTGCCTAGAATCTGCTGGCAACACTTTCCCAGGTCCCGGCCATACCTGAGACACTTTCCTGAAAACGCTGGCCTCACTGCTTGGCCAATCCTGGGGAGACAGGTCTCAGGACCATAGAGAAGTAAGAAGTGCATCAGGGCGTCCTAATCCCAAGCCCAGGGGACACCTGGATGGGACTGAGACTTTCAGAAAACAATGTCACTTTACTGAGGGTAAGGATCACCTGGAAAGCTGGACTGGGAGGGTGAGGTCCTAGAATCCACCATCTTAACCATGCAAGTGGCTCTCAGACCACCCACAACACTGCCCTGAGGCATCAGCCAGTTTGCTGGAGCTGTTCCTGCCCCTAACTTCCTTCCAGGGAGACCTGGGGCTTGGGACCTCAGGCAGGGCCCTAGGGACCAGTAGGAGAACGTGGAGGCGTGCAGACCCCTGAGGCCGGCGAGGGAGGTAAAGAGGAGGAAGGGCGGGAGCCCACACTCACTCGGCCAGCGCTCGGATGCAGCAACGCGACATGTTGAGGAAGGAGCTGGAGCTGGCGCGCGTGCCCAGGGCAGCCTCGATGCCACGCAGCAGGTCGTTGGTCTTGAAGATGAGCAGCATCTGGCGTGGCACGTGGTTGAGGAGCTGGCTGATCTGGGGGAGGTAGTTAGCCGCATTGTTGCGGATCTCTGAGTCCTGAGGATGCAACAGGGAGACGAAAACAGTTGGGATGAGAAGATGGGTGGCTGGTGTCTGAGCAGCCTGTGACCTTAGGGGCTGCAAGTAAGCTCCAGGAGGGAGTTCCAGCACCGCTGGCTTAGGACCTTCCACTGGGAACCTTCCCCAAAGGGAAGCTCAGCACAAGAAGCTTTGTAGCCCAACAAACCTAGATGGGATTTCTCACCCCAACACCTGCCCAAGCACAACAGCAGCGCATCCACAGGGCTCAGGCCTACTTCTGCTGCCTCCGCCGTCTCTGGCTCCCCATGGCCAAGATCACCAATACCCATCCCCCAAGTCCCCAAACCAATACTGACTGGAACAGGAAATCTAACTCCCCAACAACCATTTGATGAGGCTAGAGTTTGCTAGCCTCTCAGCCCAGAGGTCCAACTCTGCATTATTCTCCAAGGCTTCTTCACTGGCCACCAGTTTGAGGCCAGGCTTGAAGGAGCCCTGAAAGCTGATAGCGGCTGAGTCATATCCCCCATCTCCTCAGCCAAGCCCAGGCTGGTGCAGTTCACAGGTCTGAGTTCCCAACCACAACCCAGCTCCAAAGTCCTGCCCATACCCTACCTGACTCCTCACCAGAGGCCCTAGAAGCCACTGCCTCTCACTGTCCTCCATGCTGGAGCCAGTCTCAGCCCATCCAGGGCCCACGGTCCTGATGCCCCAGAGCAGGGCCCATCCTGGTGTATAATTCTGGGGTCTGGCTTCCCACACACTTCCCCATCCCTGGGCTCTGCGTGGCTCTGAGCAGATAACAGCCCCCAGTGAGGCTCTGATCCCTTCTCAGTCTCCAGAAAAACAATGGTGATGACAATGACAACAGCCAACACATACTGGGCATTCACCACATGAGCGAGGCATTACGAAAATGCTTGCTTGCGAGTATTAAGTTATTTAATTCTCACAACAACCTGATCAGGCAAGCGTATTACACCCATTTGAGAGGAGGAAATTGAGGCGCTGAGAAATTAACTTGCCCAAGGTGCACAGCTAGTGAGTGAGTCGGGATTAAAACTCAGGCCGTCCAGCTCCCAAGCCCACGCCCTCACCACAGGCTATACTGCTCACCGCACAGTGGACTATGTGAGCCTGGGCAAGTCCTTTCATCTTTCCCGAGCCAGCGTCCTCAGCTAAAAACTGGGAATGCTAATACCCTCTGTGCCCACCTCCCAGCAGTACCAAGAGGGCCAGCAGAGATAAGGCATGCAGGGGTGCTTGGTGCCAACCGAAGTCATGAGGGATCCAGCAGTGCTGCCAAAGGCTTCGCCGCCTGGCCGCTTCTGCAGCATTAGCAGAACTCTCTGCCCTTTCAGGAACACATGTGCTTCGCTGATAACTGAGTTGCTGTGAAACTTGAAATGTCCCTCAGGCAGAAGCTATCAGACTGGAACATCTCAGCATGAAGCCAGACACCAAGAGGCTGTCTGCCTCCCTGCAGCCTCCCACCACAGCTGCAGGTCACCCTGCTTGAGTGGTAAGGCCTGATCAAGGCCCTGCTCACCCTAGAGACCCCCCTCTCTCAGCAAGGTCGGGACTAGCCTGGAACAGCCCTCTGAGCCCAAACAGAAAGCACCTGCGCCCACCCAGGCTACCTCATGGGGGCATCTCTCAAAGCGGCACAGCCATAAAGCTTGGATAATCCTGATGGTGATGTCTGCAGTGGACCCCACTGGGTGCCTATCCAACAGTCAACCTCCCACTATCCTTTGTTAAAAGAACCCCATTTTTGTTCACTTGACCTCTTGGAACTGTGCTCTTCAGGGAGGTGAAGCCCTTGGTGTGGGGGCATCTTTACAGGCCTCAGCCAACGCTGGCTCTGAGGTCAATGCCCCTGCCAAGTGACTGGTTTAGGCATGGACATGTGACACAAGTCTGGCCAATGAGACACAAGGAGGTATCTGCTAGGGGACCTCTGGAAAAGGTTTTCTTGCTCTTAAGAAGAAAAAATTGCCCTTCCTCCCATCTCTGGACACCACGGAATAAAGATGTAAAGCTTGGAACTGCCACTCTCACCTTGGAATCCTGAAAGGAAAGCCAAGAGGAGAGCACAGGAGTCAGCAGAGAGCTCTGAGTCTGCCGATCTGCTCAATTAACCAACCCGGACCCACGCACCTCAGGCTCCTTGTTATGGAGAGAACAAATTCTTAATTGTTTAAGACACTTTGGGTTGGGAGAAAATCTCCTTAATATAATCTTAAAGGTTCCCCCAATTCTCAGTAAGACTAGGACTCAGAAAACTGAGCCCTTACATCTCAGAGGCTGAGCTGGCCTAGAGTGGCTATGTTTATTCTCTATCTGGGTTTCTGTACAAAGCGCGCAAATGGAATCCATGTCTCCAGAACCTACACAAACGCCTCTCTACTAGACCTGGTCCCAGAACTGCAAGGACCTTATAAAAAGATGTACAAGACAGGACCCCTGCCCTCCAGATACTCACCAACTACAGAGTTCATATAAGTATGCAAATAATTAACTCTGAGAGGGAGTATAAGGTGCTTGCCCATGAGTGATACAAATATTCAAGGACCACTTTTGGCAAAGGTAGGAGGCAAGACTTCCTGGGCTGGAACGATGGACTAAATTGTGCCCAGCCCCTCAAACCCCTATGTTGAAATTCTAAACTCAACATGACTATTTGGAGACAGGCTCTTTAAGGAGATGATTAAAGTTAAGTGAATGCATAAGGGTGGGGCCCTAATCTGATAGGACTGATGTCCTTACAAGAAGAGATACCAGGAGTGCATACACACAGAAGAAAGGCCGAGTCAGGACGAAGAGAGCAGGCAGCCATCTGCAAGCCAGGAAGAGAGGGCTCACCAGAAACTAACCCTGTTGATAACTTGATCTTGGACTTCCAGCTTCCAGAACTGTGAGAAAATACATTTCTGTTACATAAGATACCTAGTCGGTGGTATTCTGTTATGGCAACCCAAGCAGACTAAGACGGTAGCATTTATGCTGGGTCTTTATGAATGAATAAGAATGTGAAAATAAAGTTCTACCTTAGTTAATAAAAACAGATATCATTTGCTGAGTATCTACTGTGTGTCATGTGATCCTGTCGAACCCTGTGGCTTTAAATACCGGCTATATGCTGAGGACTCCCAAACTGATGCTCAAGCTTACATCTCTTTGAGCTCCAGGCTTAACTGCCCATGACACCTCTATCTGAATACTTAAGAGAACTATTGCTACCCCCAGCCCAAATATGTCCTCCCAAAGTCTCCCCTATGTCAGGAAGTAACACCACCCCCCATTCTGTAACTCACCCCAAAAAGCTATGATGCAACTTTCCCTCCTCTCTACATCCAAGCCAACAGAAAGGCCTCTCAGTCTTAAGCCCAAAATGCATCTTGGTTTCATCTGCTTCTCTCCACCTCCATGGCCATTAGCATAGTCTGAGCCCCCAGCATCTCTGCACCTGGAGTCCTGCCCTAGCCTCCTAACTAATCACCCCAGTGCTCACTTGCCCCACTCCAGACAGATACTTAAAACAGCAAGTCTGAGCATGTCCTTCTCCTGCTTAAAACCTGCCAAAAGCTTTGCTTTATGCTGAGAATTAACCCAAATTTCTTCCCATGGCTTATGGGCCCTGTGTAAGGCTCTCTCTGCCTGGTGCTCCAAATTCTTCTGATTCTACCATCTACCTCACGACACTCCAGACCACACCAAACTCTTAAAACACCTCAGCTTAAATGTCAACTTCTCAGCAAGCTCTGCTCTGAGCCCCCGATCTATAGCACCCCCACCACAAGCTGTTTCCTCCCTTCTACCTACAGCCTGCAATTATTCCATTCAGCTGTTCATTCACTTATTTACTGTCTGTCTCCCTCAACCACAATGCAAGTTACACAGGCCTGTCTGTCTGCTCATCACTGGATCCTCAGGACCTAGTCCAGGGTCCAGCAAAAACAAATATTCAATGAGCAAACTTCAGGAACTATGGGAAGGCACTTTCCATGCCTTATCAGTAAAGCAGAAATTATCATCCCTATTCAACAAGGAGGAAGGTTGTCTCTCTTCTTCTGAGATGACATTCTTTAAAGCTTTGTAAGCCTGGGGCAGCTGGTGGTCATCTTTGCCACCACGCTTGCTGGGGAATGATGTCAGCTTGGAGGAAAGCAGAACCAAGAGATGGCAAGATGTGGCTTCTTTGGTGACATCATTGGAGATGGGATCCAGCCATTCCTAAAGTTCCCTACCACAAGACAGCTTGCAGGGTAGGACCCTGAGGCTCAGAGAGGTGATGAGAGCTACCCGTGGTCACGCCACCAGGAAGGGCAAGTGCTGGAACTAGAACCCAGATCTTTCTGACTGCACAAGCAGAACCCCATCTCTTGTAGTGAGCCCAAGCCTGTCCCATACTGGACATGGGCAAGTCTGCATAAGTCTGGCAAACTGACTGGGAAGACAGAAGCCAATTCCATGAGGAATTGAGAAGCCCGAGAGGGAAGGAGCTCTGAGCCAAGAAGAATGAGCTACCCCAGAAGTCCCCGTGATGGGCAGTGGTGAGTATGAGCACAGGGAGGAGGTGTTCCTAGGGCTGGTCTCAGCCCAGGCACCATGGAACTCCTGTCTAGATCTGATGGAGAAATGAGCTACAAAGAAAGGCCAAATAGCTATTTCACTAAAAACTCTGTAGGGCAACAGGACAAGTGACATTGCGTGGGTACCGCGTAAGAACCGAAGCGCTCTCCCAGGAGGGTGCCCCCGAGAAACCACACCATGGAGATAGTGCCCAGCAGAAGGCAGCAGAAGTGGTGCCAGACTTATTTATGGAAAGCCCCGGGAGATTCCCAGAAGTCCTGGGGGAGAACCTTGTGGAAGCCTGATATTCTGTGTGAGCAGGCTGGAGCAACAGCCACAGAAGTCTGGATCATACGGTTAACATGACCTGGTTACACACCAGCTCCATAAGGCAGGAGTAGGACATCGCTCCCCTCTCCTCCTTCCACCCACTGTTGCTCCAATTCTGCCCACCACCCCACTCCCACAACCCACCAGTCTAGAGCCTCAGGCCCTGGGGTGGAAGGAAACCAAAGGCCATCTCTAGCCCTGGCCCCGTCGCTTGTCTTCGGGAGAGGGCTGGGCCAGGAGCGGGCACCTACCTCAGTGGCAGTGACTGGAGCTTGGCTGATGCCCCTGTTGACCGAGTTCCATGAGCGGGCCGTCAGCATGCAGGCAAACAAGGGGTAGAGGTCGCCAGCTCCCAGACGCTGGCTGTACTTCTTTACCTTCTTCATGTCAGTCCAGATCAGCGACTGCCAGAGGTGGCAGTAATCCAGGCGGAACTCTTCTGTGAGCACCTGTGGTGGGGACAGCCATGGCAGAACTTAGGCCTCCTCTCCTCATGGGAGACCCAGCCCCTGGCTGAGTGACCGCTGTAGAGGGGGACGGATGAAGATCATGGCTCCTGCACAATGTCTGGTTCTCCCCCAAAGTCTGGCCACCCTTGACAGTCCAAGTTCAAAGCTACTATTTGGCCAGCCTTCGTCCTAAGTGCAGAAATTACCAACTGCCCACCAAAATCAAATTCCCCACCTCCCTGCTGGTTAGATGTGGCCATCCAAGCTTTGACCAACAGAATGTGGCAGAAGCTCCGCTTCCAGACCTGGCCCATGCACGCTCCTCCGAGCCCTCAATCCTGTGACTGAGGATAACGAGACCACCTTGAGGGAGGTCTGGGACACAGAGCCTCTGTCAGTCCCTGACTTCGGCCTCCTCCACCCACCCAGGATCAGTACATGAGAGCACATTAGACGACTGCTATGTCTGGGCCAGCATTTGTTTGGGAGCTATGTGTGGCATCAGCAAGCCTACCTTAAACTAACACATCCAAGGTCACTGAGCCTTTCAAAGGAGGCCAAGATTTTGAGATGTGGAGTTAAGGCCCCGAGGGAAGGAATAGGAGACCATCAGGAAAAACTCCCCAGGACCATCTGCCTCCTAGAATCAAACCAGGCTCTGGGTCCTGAGATTGGCAGTGAAGTTCCCAACTTCCAGGCAGGAGATCACGGTTCAACTGAACCAGCTCTGCGTCCCAAGTCCAGCGGACAGAGTCTGGAAGCATCCAGTGCCTATCAGTTCCTGGCCCCCTTTCCTACTACACATCACCTCTTCACTGGGGCTGAGTTACCCTTCTCTCCCTGAAGTCCTAGCTCATCTAAGGGCAGCTCGCCTTCCAAGGTCTGGGCTGGCCTGGACTTCCCTGGAAAGCAAGGTTGTTGTACAGCTAACAAAGCGCTTCCACACATGCAGGCACATTCCCATCTACTCCACACAGTGGCCTGTAAAGGAGGTGTTACCAACCTCACCCTACTAAAGAGAAAGCTGAGGCTCAGAGAGTATATGACTGACTTACACAGAATGGCAGTTCAAGGGCGAGGGTACAGCCTCTCCAGACACCTGGGCCATCTGCCTCCCATTGCTGTGGCCCAGAGGGGAGTTCAACGGGCTCTGAGCCCAGGCAGGACTAGACCCCGGGGCTGGCTGAGTGGGAAAGACCTCTCCTACCTGGTAGAGCCCATGGTCCAACAGGACAACCTCTGCCTTTCCCGTGTCCGGGCGCTTTCGCACCAGCACGTTCCCTGGGTGGGGGTCGCAGTGCACGAAGCCGTTGATAAAGATCATCTCACTGTACATCTTGCCCAGGTTGCGCGAGATCTGAAAGAGCAGGGAGGCAGGCGGGAGTTGAGCTGCATTAACACCTGTCTGAGGCTTCCCCTCTGGTCCCTCAGTCTGGCCACTTTCAAGAGGAAGGCCAGAGGGACCTGGCGGGCCTGAGCCGTCACAGTGGAAGTGACAGCTTGAGGCTGTGTAGTTCCTGAGTTTAAGCTAGAAGCTGAGCTCTCATCCAGTTTTTAACTTTAGCTGCACATTAGAATCACCTGGAACTCATAAATGTTGGGTATTTTTTCAAGTTCCCATGGTGATTTTAATGCATGGCAAGGTAGGCGAACCACCACGTCTAGTTCTTCGGATGGCTGTAACTCCCACCTCCTACACCCGCTCCTCCACTCTTCCCGATTTTTCTCTTCTCTATTTCTCTTATCAATCCCTCTTCATTTTTTCCCCAAAGTTGAATATGGGCTGGAAAGCTGGGTTGGGGCGAATCGCTCCACCTCCAAAGAGTAAGGCTGGGGTACTGAATAGGTAACCCTGCCACCCTCTGGTGTTGCCCCACAAGCTCCAGGCCGGTCCCAGGAGAACCCAGAGCCATAAGCCCTTCTCCTCTCTCCCTGCAGGCCCCTTTCCCTATACCCCTTCCTGCCAGAGCCCAATGCTAATCTGATTTATGATGTCTGCACAGAAGAAATGACACTGGAGAGGCCGTTTAAATCATCCTGTCACTGCTGCTTTCCCTGCCGAGGCAGTCTTCTTATCTCTACTCCCTTTTTATTAAAGCTAAAAGCCTCTTCCCAGCTAGGGAACGGCTACTGAATAGAGCCATACCTGGGCCCAAAGACGGCCTGCCAATGGATTTCCATGGGACAAAGAGATGCTCAACCCAGAGAGCTGACACCCCAGGACACACACTGCCCTTGGCGTTCCTCTCAGCCTCAGCTGGATCCCATGGTCGCTAACAAAGATATCCCAGCCAGAGGAGAGGAGTTGGTGCTTATCTGGCGGGGAACATAGGATGAGGGTCTTAAATAAAGATTCGACTCCTCTCCTGGGCCTACAAAGTCCTGCACGACCAGGCCCAGCCTCCCTCCCTGGTACCACACTGACGCTCCGGCCACATTTGCTTTCTGTTTCTTCTCCGAGATCCCTATGTCTTCCTACCTCAGGGCCTTTGCACATGATATTCCCTCTGTTAGGAGCATTTTTCCTAACTCTCCTTCAGCTCGTTTACTGCTCTCTTCCTTCCTATCCTAGCTCAGCATCACCTCCCTGGGGAAGTCCTCCCTGACCTCAGACTAGATGCGATTCTCCTGCCATACTCTCTCATAGAATGCTATACTTTTCTTTCATGGCACTAGCTCACTATTTGTATCATTATTTGATTAATGACCATCTAGCCCACTATCGTAAGCTCCAACGATGGCAAGGACTGGCTCTATTTTGTTAAACAGCTTTATTGAGGTATAGCATACATACCACAGACTAGCTCTATTATGAATCCACTTGCCTGTAACAAGCCAAACATGTGATTTTAGGATTCTGTCTTCAACATGAGTGAGACCTTTGTATCTCCATGTACTTTCTTTTTGAGATGCTGTGATTCTTGCCTCTGATGCTCATCCTAACCCCCTTAACTGCTCTGAATCCCAGTCGATTATAATTGGCCCCAAAATAGATCATCGAGAATGACCTTACTTTAGTAACAATAGCTGCCATCCTTATTAACAGCGCTAAAAGTAGGTACGATTGTGATCCCCACTTTGCAGATGAGGTACTGAGACTCACTGAGGTTTAACTTCCCCAGAGCTAAATGGCCAGAAGGAGGTAGAGCCAGGATTCAAACCAGGCGTGACCCACAGCCTTCCAGTAACCACTATTCTGTAATGGCTCCCACCCAGCAACTTCGGTACTTCTCAACTGAACTCTGTGAGTTTAAACAAGTTGCTTCCACTCTCAGCTTCGGTAAAATGGAAATAATAGCGGCACCACTCTCCAGGGCTAAATGAGAACATTGCAGTGCATGGGACCTTGGGACCTCTCACAGCTGCCCCTGTTACTGATTGCTCATAACACTCCGGGGAGGGTGGCAGATTACATTTCATTGTACTTTTTTGAGAGAGAAAGAAACCAAGGTTGAAGAGGTTGTCTAAAGTCCTGACACTTATCCTGTGTCACACTGTCCTGCGACCACATCAGCTCCCCAGCTCCTGATGTTTCCTTGGGGTGACATGAATGTCCAGTTCGCAGTGTCTGTTGACATTGGGAACAGGACTTTGCCCTGTGTCAAGTTCTCAGACTCAGGCTGAGATGTCAGGTGTCCCACAGCCACCATTTTCTGTTTCCTCAGAGAGCAGGCCCAGCCAGAGCTGGTCCTGGGAGAGCCAGCAAGTCACCACTTCTGAGAACCCCTCTTGTCAGGCTTGTTGGAGCTCCATAGAGCCATGGTCTGAAAGGCTGTGTTTGCCAAACCAATTGCATTTATTAAGTAATAATTCATTTTACTTGTCAAGGACGCATACAGGTCCAATCAGGGATCCTGATCAGCCCACGATAAGCAGTGCAACCAGACTGAGCTGACGGAATTCCAGCCAAAAGCAGAGAAATGACATTTCATTTAGTCTGGGCAGACCTGTCATGGGGAGATGTATGATCTCCCTTAAGCTTTATGAAATACTGCTAATCGTGCTGGGCCCCCTATTACTGCATCAAAAGATGGCCCCTAGAGGTCTAGGGAGTCAGGATGGGGGACCCCTTGCCCATGAGAGTGAGATGCTGTTGCTGCCAACTGCAGCTCATACACACATGAGCAAATCCACCAGAGCAGCCCTTCCCATTTCAACACCCCATCCAGACGCCCTTACTTGGGTGCCTTTCCATTTAGGGGCTGCTTTTGATGTTCATTTTAAGCAGATTTCACCACACTAGGCAGGTGGACAAGGCAGAGATAGGAGGGGAACCAGCCTATGGACCCAGCTTCACTCCGGAGCCATCCTAGTACTGCCACTTAGGGTATGGGTGACCTAGTGGACAAGTCAGCTCACCCTGGGTCTAAGTTCCCTTAGCTGTTAAGTAAAACTAACCCCAACTGCTCTGCTCTCTCACGGAGCAATCCCAAGATTCAAGGTCAAAATGTGATTACATATGGGAAAGAGCTCAATACACGACACAAAACACAAACGTGTTGTTTGTTTGTAATGCGGTAGCTCATTATTTTAAACTTGGAAAAAAATACACCCATTATCACCATCAAAGTGTAATTTCCAAAAAAAATTAAAAACATGACCCTCACACAAAAATACAGAATAAACATGCGTCAAAGATTATTTAACCAATCGATAAAGGAACAAACATGAAGGTAGAACTGGCTCAGAGAGAATTCTGAGGGGTTGGGTGTTTATGGGCATTTAACAGAATAAGAGCCTAAGATTCCTGGGTTACATACAAGACTGGTTATTATCCTACAGGGCAATAAGGAAATCATAACCTTTGGGGTTATCTTCTACTGGGCAGAAATTATTTGCTTCTCTACCGGATAAGATCTACAGATTGACGTGTGACTTCAATCTGAGCGCTTAATTAATTGTCAATAGCAAAGTCTAACAAAAATACATTCTCCTAGGTATTAAAAAATCCTCGAGTGGGCTGGCTGAACAATGCTCCAGAATAACTTTAAAAAACACACTGCATACTCTTGGCCTTATTTCTAACTTTTGGGTAATTTTTCTTTACATCTGTCAGAGTTGCACTAAATAGTCTCTGGGAACCAATTTGCCCAAAAAAAGGCAGCCGGTCCCCTCCCACTCACGGAGACATTAAAGGTCCCGGGAGAAACCCAAGGCATCGCTGGGCAGAGCCCCCTCTCCCACCCCTTCCATAATACTTTGCTACGTCTCATGATGAAGAATAATTGAAAATAGTGTTGCAGTGAACAAGGGGGAGTAGATATCTCTTTGAGACACCCATTTTGTTTCCTTTGGATATATATACCCAGAAGTGGGATTGCTAGATTATATGGCCGTCCTATTTTTAATTTTTTGAGGCACTTCTATTTTATTTTTCAGAGTGGCTACACCAATTTACAGCCCCACCAACCGTACATGAGGGTTCCCTTTTCTCCACATCCTCACCAACATCCTCCTGTCTTTCTGATGACAGCCATTCTAACAGGTACGTGGCGATCCCTCATTGTGGATTTGATTTTCATTTCCTTGATTAGTGATGTTGAGTACCTTTCATGTACTTGTTGGCCATTAGTATGTCTTCTTTGGAGAAATATCTACTCAATTCCTCTAAGGCTGCCCCTTGCCATGTCAGTGGTGGCAACTGAATAAAGACAGGAAGTACCACCTGTTTAGAATGGAAACAGCTAATACTCTGTGCCAGGCACAGTTCCAGGCACATTACATGGGCTGGCAGCTACCCTCTATGGTGGACAGGTGAAGGAAAAGGAATCTAAAAAGGGAGAGAAGCCTGGTCACCTGGCCAGGAGTCAGTGAAATCAAGATCCAAACCCAGATGGTGTGGCTCCAGGGAACCAGCTCCCAATGGCCAAGCCATCCTCCCGCTCCACTCTCCGCCTACAAGGACTCTCCTGGAGGCAGGAGCTACACCAAGAACCTCGGAGGGTCCCCCACGGCACCCAGGAAGGTATCCCATCTGGAGAAAAGAGTCTCAGTGGGAAATCCAGGACTGTTCGTCTAACCAAAAACACACTGTTAACCAAAGCCATCGTATAGCAATTTTTAGGGAAAAAGTCAGTAACGAGTCTTTTAATTGTTCTATATGAAAAGAATGTGCCACTCACATAAGTGATTTCAGCAATTACACAATGCCTTTATTCTCGAACAGTTGGGGGTGGGGGAGGAAGGCCAGGATTCTATAAAAAGGGTGAGTAAAGAATTTAGTAAATAATATTTAAATCACAGAGTTATTTTTGGATTTTTCTTAAAACTTGAATTGCCCGAAAGTACTTAAGTTATTTTATAATTGCATGAATTAATTTATTCCCACCCCCGAGGGAAAGTCTATTTATGTTCTTT